AAGATAAATATTGTATTCTAACGCACACATATGGAATCTAGAAAAATGGTACTGAAGAATTTAATTACAGTACAGCACTGGAGAAACAGACATAGAAAATAGGTTTATGGTCGTGGGGTGAGGAGAGGAGAGGGTGAGATGTATGGAAAAAGTATCATGGAAACTTACATTATCATATGTAAAATAGATAGCCAACGGGAATTTGCTGTATCACTCAGGAAATTCAAACAGTGGCTCTGTATCAATCTAGAGGGAAATGGGATAAAGGTTCAACAGGGAGGGGATATATGTATACCTATGGCTGATTCATGTTGAGGTTTGACAGAAAACACAAAATTCTGTAAAACAATTATCCTTCAATAAAAAAATAAATTAGAAAAGAAGAAAAGTAAAAATATTTTTTTAAAAAAGAAATTCAAATCTCTAGTTATATGTTAAGGAAGTCAAGGTGTAATACACAGAATAAGGAATATGGTCAGTAATAGTGTAGTAAATCCGTATGGGGACAGATGGTTACTAGACTTAAGGGTCTTTCATAATGTATGCAAGTATCAAAGCATTATGTAATACACCTGTAACTAACATAATATTGTTACATAATATTGGCAACTTTATAATAGAAATAATTAAATATAAATGTAGAGATTACCATGTTCATGGATCAGAGAATTCTATATTATTAGTAGAACTGATCTACAAATTGATCTATAGATTCAAAGTAATCCCAAATCAAACATCAATGTGCTTTTTAAATGAAACTGGTAAGCTAGTTTTAAAATTTATATAGCTATTTAGATAACTTAGAATAGTCAGTAATTTTGAAAAGGGCATACATAATTGAATAACTCACAGCACTAGTTTCAAGATTAAGTATATTGCAATCAAGGCTGTGTGGTATTGGCACAGGGATAAAAACATCAATGGAGAAGATTGAAAAGTTCAGAAATTAGCACACAAGTACATGGTCAATTTATTTTCAGCAAATGTGCCTGAATAATTCAGTGGTGGTATTAAAATAGTCTTTTCAAAACATGGTATTGAAACAACTGGCTACCCATTTGGAAAATATTGAACCCTCCTTTACCAAACATCATGCATGAAAATAAATGTGAAAGATTTCACCTACCTGATATAAAATCAAAGCATTAACAAAAGGGAAATATTAGGTTGAGACAAAAGTAATTGTGGTTTTTGCATTGTTGAAATCTGCCATTTGATATTGGAATATATTGTAAATAAATGTGGTTATGTTAATTATCATTTAAATGCACGTTTCTTGCTTTATGTTTTTTTGCTAGTGACTTGTTGTTGTTCAGTTGCTAAGTTATGTCCAACTCTTTGTGGCCCAGAGACTGCTGCACACCAGGCTTCCCTGTCCTTCACCATCTCCCGGAGCTTGCTTAAACTCAGGTCCATTGAGTTGGTGATGCCCTCCAGCTATCTCATCCTCTATCGTCCCCTTCTCCTCCTGCCCTCAATCTTTCCCAGCATCAGGGTCTTCTCCAGTGAGTTGGCTCTTTGCATCAGGTGGCCAAAGTACTGGAGCTTCAGCCTCAGTCCTTCAGGGTTGATTTCCATTATGATTGACTGGTTTGATCTCCTTGCTGTCCAAGTACTCTTAGAGTCTGTATTTACTGTTTATTTTCTATTTATTTTAGACTATGGAAATGATGTTAGACAAAAAAGCAGATTTGAGCAGTTTTCTTATTTGAGTTCAAAGTGGGTTGTGAAACATCAGAGGTGCCTCGCAACACCAACAGTGCATTTGGCTGAGGGACATCTAACGCACAGTGCAGTGCAGTGGTGGGCCAAGAAGTCCTGCAGAGGAGACGAGACTTGACGATGAGCGTAATTGCTGGCCGTCAGAAGTTGACAGTGACAATTGAGAGTCATCATCAAAGCTGATCCTCTTACAACTATTTGAGAAGTTGCCTAAGAACTCAATGTTGACCATTTTACAGTCATTCACATTTGAAGCAAATTGGAAAGGTGCAAAAGCTCGAAAAGTGGATGCCTCGTGAGCTGACCAGAAATCAAAAAAATTGTCAGTTTGAAGTGTCTTCTTCTCTTATTCTGTGCAACAACAATGAACCATTTCTCAATTAGATTGCAAAATGTGACAAAAAGTGAATTGTATACAACAACTGGTGATGGTCGGCTCAATGGCTGGACCAAGAAGAAGCTCCGAAGCACCTCCCAAAGCCAACTCGCACCAAAAAAGATTATGGTTACTGTTTGGTGGCCTTTTGCTGGTCTTATCCACTACAGCCTTCTGAATCCCTGTGAAAATAGTACATCTGAGAATCATGCTCAGCAGATGGATGAGACGCACCAAAAACTGTAGCCCCTGCAGCTGGCATTGTTCAACAGAACGAGCCCAGCCCTTCCCAATGACAGCATCCTGCCACACGTGAAACTCTTACACAAACTGGACTATGGAGTTTTGCCTCCTCCACCATATTCACCTCTCACCAACCGACTATCATTTCTTCAAGCATCTCGACACTTTTTGCAGGGAAAATGCTTCCACAACCAGCAGGATCCAGAAAACGCATTCCAAGAGTTCTTTGAATCCCCAGCTACAGATTTTTATGCCACAGGGATAAACTTATTTCTCACTGGAAAAATTGTGTTGATTGTAATCGTTCCCATTTGATTAATAAAAATGTGTTTGAGCCTAGTTATAATGATTTAAACTTCACCACCTGAAACAGAAATTACATTTGCACCAACCTAACAGGAGAAAAATCTTTGTAACATTTAATCAGGCAGATTTCTTAGGTAGGAGGCACAAATCACAATCTTTTAAAAAGGAATAATTTGGACTTCCTTGATAGACTTAGGAAAATCAAAAGGCAAGCCACAGGTTGAGAGAATATAATAAATCATATGCATATATGATCTGTGTGTGTATCTCTGTGTGTATCTATAATACATATATATGTCGGGGGAGTGTGTAGTTTCCTTAGTTCTGTCTCACTGCAAGCAAAAATTTGAAGCGATGGATGGACTAGTGTTACAGCTCAGTTTTATTCGGCAAGCAAAGGAAAATACATCCTCGAGGTGTAAGAGCGGGCCAGCCCAAAAGAAGTGAAGAGAAGAGAAGCCACCAGCTTAATTTTGGCTCCCCTTTTTATGTGTTTTCCTCCTCCCCCTGAGCCTGTCCTATGTAAACTGGGCTAGCCAGGAGGGCTGTTTGCTTCATCTGAGGTTCTCACTCAGGTCCTTGGTCCTTCCTTTGTTCTATTTTTCCTTTCTTTGTCTTTTTGCCACTACTACTTTGGACTCCTTTTTCTTATTTTAACTACCTAAAATATATGTATCCAGAATATATAGAAAATGATTACAACTCAGTGATTAATTTCCCAAAGAAAAATAACTTGGATGATAAATGAACACTGAAGCATACTTTCACAGTCCTATTTGAAACAACATAAAAATATCTCTAAAAATATATTTAATTACTAACATCCAAGTATAAAAATTTTGACGTTTAGTGTATTTGTACAGAGGATGGTAGAGTATTTCTTTTAAAATTGTAATTGAAAATAGCAAAATATTGTAATCAGAAGTGTTAGTTGCTCAGTCATGTCCGACTCTGTGAAACCCCATGGACTGTAGCCCACCAGGCTCCTCTGTCCATGGAATTTTCCAGGCAAGAATATTGGAGTGTGTTGCCACTTCCTCCTCCATGAGATCTTTTGAATCCAAAGATTGAATCTGCATCTCCTGTGTCTACTGCATTGCAGGCAGATTCTTTATCCCTGAGCCACCTGAAAAGCCCAATCAGAGGAAAACATCAGTTCAGTATATCAGCAAAATTAAGAAGAGTTACTAACCAAAATAATGAAGTTAAATACTATATGGAAACTATATTATGGAGACATATTATTTGTATTTTTAGAAAGATAGAGCCATATATTAGTGTGAAAAGATTTTAAAAAGTGAATATTAATTTGTTGAATAAGAAACATAGTATCACTGAGGATGTATCATAAATGGCTGCTGCTGCTAAGTCGCTTCAGTCGTGTCTGACTCTGTGCGACCCCATAGACGGCAGCCCACCAGGCTCCCCCGTCTGGGATTCTCCAGGCAAGAACACTGGAGTGGGTTGCCATTTCCTTCTCCAATGCATAAAAGTGAAATGTGAAAGTGAAGTCGCTCAGTCATGTCTGACTCTTCGCGACCCCATAGACTGCAGCCTACCAGGCTCCTCCGTCCATGGGATTTCCCAGGCAAGAGTACTGGAGCGGGGTGCCATTGCCTTCTCTGATCATAAATGACTAGATAGCAATAAATAAATGTCTTCCCTGATTTTCTCTTTGTATATTTTTTTCTTATAGGAATTATATTGACAGGTATTTCCTCTTGAGTATTTCTTGAGGCCACATCCTTCCTCCTACCATCTTTCTCCAAACTTAGTGAACTGATTTACCTCTCCTTTGTTTTAGTTTTTCATTTTAAAGACACAGACAAAAAAAAAAAAAAACAACTACATTTTTTTCTCTTCTTTTTTTTTTTACCTTCAAAGTCATAGTAACTTAGCAAAAAGTCAATGCCTCTTTCTTATTTACTCACATAGAGTATGCCATACCTCAAAATGTTTTTCAAGTAGTTTTAGCATTTTAAAGAGACTGTAACTATGGAAATGATTTTAAAGTTCAGTGTTACAGAAAATTATGACCTTGCTTTCATTTTATAGGGTATCAAAAATGTGTAAAGTACTGGAGAATGGATTACATCTGTTTTGTCTTCTCCTAAAGTGGTAATTTTTTGTGGTTCTTTACTTTTCCTCTTTCCCTTTGGTCTGTGGCTGCAAAAATCACTTTAATTGCTCAGCTAACCTTTCCTTCTACCCAAGCATACCTTTAAAAAAACAGGTAATATTATTTTTTTGAGGCTTGATACACTATGATGAAATATGAAGCTTATTTACTTTCCTTAGCTTCCTTTTTTGCTGGAGAGTCTGACTATACCAATTCTCTTTAACTTTCGTGTAGATTTGTTATTGGGCGAGAAAAACCAGGACAAGTGAGTGAGGTTGCCCAGTTGATAAGCCAGACGCTGGAACAAGAAAGACGCCAGAGAGAGCTGCTTGAACAGCACTATGCCCAGTATGATGCGGACGACGATGAGGTAAGCCGCGCTTGCAAACATTCTTCTCCCTTCATTTCTTCTTACTACATCCCAACTCGATAAAACTCTCTTTACTATATAGCAGTAAGACAGATCTTTGCAGTTTTTCAAGGAGAATGTGTCAGCTTCAGTCTTATAGAAAGGAAATATTGCTTGTGTTTGTTAATAGCTTATCAATCAATTAATGGTATATTTATAGTATGAAGTCTTCTGGATCAAATAAGTCCTTTTTTGCCATATTATTAAGATACATTCATTGAAACAAAAAAAGGGTAAAAATACCAAAATATAAATACTAGCTATCTTGGATTTTTCTCCCTCTGCTTTGTATTTTTCAATTTTTTTCCAGGTTTTCTACAGTAAGTATGTAACAGGGAACACTTTTGAAAAAAATCAGTAAACATTTTGAATGCAAAAACACACATACATACACAAACATACACAGAAAGTACTGAAAATTGCCGAGTGTCTTTAGATTTTCTTTCCCCCAGGAAGAGAAAGTTCTTTGGATCTGCTCACTATGATTTGTGCTAACATAATGCAGAACAAAGCTTTTCCACCAGTGCATATTCCATAGAGTAGGTCCATATTGGAATAATTTTGCATCCTGCTTTCTGTGAAAGATCAAGCAAATGAATAGAAGCTAACCCCCAAGTGAAAACGACTCACCAGAACCCTTGTGTGTTGTAATATAATACAGATGCTGGTCTATTTCTAATGTGAGTGCCAAATGTACACTGATATAATGGGACAACATACTTCTTTATAAGCATGTTAAACATGCATATGTTTCACATTGACATGTCAAAGGATCCATCAGCAGTGTAGCTGCAGTGTTTCATGCCCCATAAACAGTGAATACTCAGGTAAAATAGATACTCTTCTTTATACCAGCTGACAGAAGGACAGTGCAACTTCATATGTTCAACCTCTACTCACCTGAATATATTATTTCTCCAGAACTGTTTTGGTTTCTAGCAGGGACCTAGTGAAGATTAATAAAGAGACATTCAAATATTTTTCATGTATTTTTAGTGTGGAATGTTCTAACACAAGTGTATATTCATTTTTCATTTGTTTGTAGTATAATGAGAATATATGCTCTCTTTATTATAGTAGAAAATTTTTTCAGTGGTGCTTCAGTCAACTATTGATCTCAGAATAAACATCAGACTATTCTTCACGTGAGTGAATTAGTTTCTTAAAATTCTATTTAATTGATTTAGTTTTTCACCTTCAGAATTCATTTTAAATGGCAAGTATTTTTTTGAAATTAAAACAGTGATTTCCTCAAATATCTGAACTTTCATCTTCCCTATTTTTCAGTTCTCTGCACAAGAATCTTGTGTTTTATCACACAAGCAAATCAGAGACACTGATTTGTTTTGGCTGCAAGCCTGAATTAGTATTGTAGAATCATTGCAGATTTGGCTGTTACCTGTTTACTCTGTTAGAAAAAATTTGGATTTGAGGTTCAGGGGAGTACGGGTGACATCAAGTGGTAGAAGGTGAGGAGGCCAAATTTTCCAGTCTCTGGATCTGTGTCTTTGCTTAAAAGTACAGGGCCAGTTTCTCATATTCCATAAAGCATGAGGAATAAAGCATCAGGTCTAACAAGGAAAGAGGGAAAAATCAGATATTTCTTTAATTAAGGCTTCCCAACTGAACATTTTAGATCACATACTACATATTTCCTCCAGTTATTTTGAGGAATAGATCACATTGATCTGCCAAAGCTTTCAACCTAAAGTTTTTTTTTTTAATGTAAGATTTTCTCTAATAATTTGAATAAATGCATAAGGAATACTTGTCATTCAATGTTTATACTTAGAAATATACCATATGGATTTTGTTTATTTCTTTGTATGCCTGTTTGTGGGGACTTCCCTGGTGGCTCAGCGGTAAAGAATCTGCCTGCAATACAGGAGAACAACGTTTGATCCCTGGGTGGGGAAGATCTCCTGAAGGAGGGTATGGCAGCCCACTCCAGTATTCCTGCCTAGAGAATCCCATGAACAGAGGAGCCTGGTGGGCTACAGTCCACAGGGTCTCACAGAGTCGGACATGACTGAAGCGATTTAGCAGCAGCAGCATGCCTGTTTTTATAAGGAAAGCAGTGTTGATTGTCACTTGAGCAGATATTCTCAGAGGCAAGGAGGGTAGTTAATAAATATTCAGTGCCAGGCACTTTGCTGGGTGTCTTCCCTACATGATTTCAGATCATGTTTATAACAAGCAGAAGAGACTCTTCCCCCCCCCCCTTTTTCTAAAGATGTAATGATTGAGGCTTTTTCTAATGGTATTGCTAATGGCTGCCAGATTTAGGATGGGAACAGGGGTCTCCTGGCTCCGAAGCCTGGACTCTTTGCAACACAGTGCTGATTTTGAATGGAGTAGACTGGTGTGTATGTCTGTATCTAGGCACACACAGAGTCACTGGGACACAAGAGATGCTGCAAGGAGGATTCCTGTTTTGGGTAATGAAGTTTCTTGTTCTGGAAGAATACCTAGGTTCTGGAATTCTTTGTTCTATAAATTTCTATTAATCGGGGGATCAAATACTTGAAGAGTTATTTTACAATAGGTGAATACTTAATCCAGAAGTAGCCTGTGAAGATAGGGCTTAAATGGAATAGCTGAGTATACAACTATTCTACAAAAAATCAGAGTTTAGTTTTAGGTTAAACTTTTCTTCTGCCTGCAAGATGTTGAAATAGAAAGCAGGTGCTTGCTACACCAAGTAACCTTCACTTTATTGAAAAGGTCAAGGAGTTCTCTCTCATTGTTTCTTTCTCTCTCATGCTCCTTTTGGACATATCCTTCTCCCTTTCTTCTGTGTTACACACTGCCTCACCGAAGTATGCCCGGCTAAAACCAACCATTAATTTTCTGTGTGTTGGAGAGATGAAAGGTCTGCAAATAGTGAAAATCCACTTTTGTGTAAACATGTCAATTTATTTACTTGATTTAGACTTATTTTTTATTAGTGCTTCCAGATTTTTTTTAATTGATTTGTGTTATGTCCTTATTTTTTATTTATTCTCTCTGTGTGTTAATGAAAAGTAAAATACATAATGAAAATGAAAATAACCAATATTGGTTATCCAATGAGCGATTTGCATGGTCCTTGAATAATTTATTAATTTCATATGTAATTGAACAATTTATTGACTTACATATCCTGTTAACCCTGAGTTGTGTATGTAATCAGTCACTTGGTTTCTCGTTTTTCTTACCATTTATAGAATCATCTTGTGATTTCAAAGTTAGAATCATTTTTATTTGGTAATATCCCCCATGACATTCCCTAGGCCAGCCAGGAAAACCTCTAATTAAATGCAGAACGACCAGGTTCATGCAGTTAATTTCCAGAGCCAGCACTTAGATCAGCATTGTCTACTGAAGAACAGATAACTCTGGTTTTGGTCAAATAACCCAAGGTTGATTCTAACTTGGAAACTGTCACATCGACAGAGGGGAACTGCTTGCTTGAATTGCCTATAAGGAAAACATTGCACTGTGAGGAAATATGTCCTGAAGTTGTAAAAGTACAGTGGGCCTCTTATCAGAACCGTATTGAAGATTAAGAATACTTTACCATGCGTTGTGTGTGCTTATATGTATCTGTTTTAATAGTTTAATTAAAAGTCATACTCCAGTAGAATTTTTTTTTATTTTTTTTTTCCAGTAGAATTTAAAATACATAGATAATCCCAAAACTTCATTTAAATTTATGAATTTTCTGTTTTTTTCCTTCAAATATTTAAACTGGAAGAGTTTAAAACATGTGAATGCCCAACTCAATTTGAATTGCATTCCTGTTTCTATTCATTCTCTGTTAAACATTCTGATTTTTTTTTAAGTTAAAATAACTCTGTCTAACAGCTGAAAAATAAAATAAAGAATCCTTTAAAGAAGATGTTCAGATGTAAATCTGAACCACTGAAAAATTTTAAATCTAGATCTGAGTGTATCTGTGATAAGGCATTGTACTTCTGGATTTATAAAATTGTTTGTTTCTTTTTCTTTCTTTCTTTTCTTCTTTTTTTTTAAAACAAACAATCTGAAAGGTAACCATGGAGGATTTTAGTAAACCCCTCAGACAGTCAGCACTATCTCATGAAATTCTGAGGGTATAGTAAATTTTTCAACTAGATTTTATTTTTAGTAACAAATTTTATTTCCATTCATATGCCACAGCTATCAGTGTTTACCTTTTAAGGTGAGATGATGTAATTCTGGCATATGTTTTATGTCACAGGAGTCATGTATCTGTATTTTGGGGAATTCATTTCTATCAAAAAGAGCAAAATGTAATGCGAAACACTGTGGGCTTAGATTGGAAATGAAATGTGAACTGGTACTGTACCACTTTTTAAAATTAGAACGTATGTAATGGTTGTTCACATTAAAATGAGTTATTTTACATACACTTTTATATGATTATTATGCTTTTGCTTCTTTGAATGTTAAGATATAATATTTATTACACTTTGAAGTCTTAGGTTATAGATGGCATTTCAAAGCCTTTTTGTGTAGTAGTTTGTAGCAAGATTAATTATCACTCCAGAAACCGAGGCTCCTTCTCTTAAAATATAATTTAATATTTCTTATTATCACAACTACATCATGACAACATTAGTTTATTTTTTAGAATCTTTTAAAGTATTGAATGCAATTTAGAGCAGGTGCCTACATGGACATATATTTTTATTGCTTGTGTTAATATGTAATAATTAGAAGCAGAAATATAATGGAAGTTATGGTTTGCATAAGAGTTAAAGGTTTACAAAAATGTAATTTTTATGTGAAAAAGCATTAAAGGGATAACATTACATTTGACTTATGCTGTTTGCTGTTCCCGTTTGGAAGCAGGTTGTGTTGTACGAACAAGAGATTACAGTCACTATGGATGGCCTTTTAATAATATGAACTGGTTTTATAACTGTTTACATGGTTGAAAAACTAAGAGCTTGGGGGTGTTCTCTTAGTTCTTGAAA